CGAATTCCACGGAATTTTCAGGAAAACCCAAGGACATCTAAAATACTATAAAAACCCTATATTCTATGTACATAAATTAACCTTTGGAGTAAAAAGCTTCTCGCATATTTTGCGCCTTTTCTCTCGTGTTCAAGTCGCTGTGTAGATTTAGCTTGGGCGTTACGAGACTAGCTTAGGATCCGAATATAGCGTTCAATCTACAAGACTTATCAAGTTTCGAAAAAATCACATGCCATCCCCATTTTAAATCTGTTTCGCTGAGTACTATAGTCTTATGTTCTATTGAATAACTTATAGAATTTCAGTTGATCTTTTCAATGTGGTCACAGAATTCAATCAGAATAAAATGTAGTGTAGTTTTAAACAGACTATTATAATTTAATTGTCGCGTCTGACACCCTTCTGAATCTAGTCAGTCGTATCTTAGTGCTCACTTTGTGAATACAGTGTTCAATGAGACGAATCTAAACTTCTGAGAGTTGATTAGATTTTGTTGTTTGAAACAATATATGCATATGGTTCTAAAAATAAAGCGTGTAATAACTATGTTTTATGGGCTTTTAGATAGGTAAACAAGTTTTATATTTGATTGACAAAGGCAATTATTCTTTCAGTTAATATTTGTAGCGAGTAATAGATGTTCAATAATTTTGATTCAGACAAATGTTGATAAAACATCTTCAGCTTACGAAGGTTTACAGAGTAATTATAAATAACAATTTTATAATTCGATTATCATTATCCTTACGTAATTCATATAGAATAGATTAAATGTGACTAGCTCTGGAATCACAAACGCACGTTAGACTCGTTACCTGGATGTACATTTTATAAAATAAGTTTATGAATTGAAACTTCCTACTTCTAGCCAGTTGGAAAAATATAGCAACAATTTCGTTGCCAGTAATCATATCCTTAAATCTTCTCTCATACCTTCTAGTCCATCTAAAAGGTGTATCTCATCAAAACAAACTGGTTTGCAATCCGATAATCCTAGTATAAAGACCAATAACTTTCTTCTTAACCGATGACATGCTTTAAAGGATAGAAGTTTATTTTGAGCAGTGACAGACGATTTAACTGATTCAGAATCCATACTCACTCTAGCCAGGTATCTAGTAAGTAGATATAACCCAAATAATCGTAATTTATTAGACCACAAGATATCACGAATATGAAATTTCAATTCATGATCAACCAAGGTAAAAGAAATGAAAATCGGAGCAACTGGTCAATATTTGATTAACAATCATTTAAGATTAGTAAGACGTATTACAACAGTTTATGAGTCTACTGGAAGATTAAAATAAGAGTAATATAAAACACAGTGGTCGAGCTATTTGCCCGATATACAACGGAAATATAAATAATAACTGTTCAAAAAAATAACTACAAGTAACACTTATTCCGATATTCACTCTGTCTAATTGTTATGCTTGACACTAAATCGATTCCGCGGTAACGAACGAAAGCCAATGACACAATGACACGATAAGCTATTCTAATCTGTTGTCCCAGGCCCCGCTAACTAGATGAAGAAGTCCAAGGCAAGTAGGGGAATATATATGTATTCCGTAAGCAGCCGAGTACAAGCAATCAAATAAGGGGAAAAGTCAAGCGCATTTATACAGTAACAAATTGTCCTTGAGCATCATTAGTAAATAGCACACATAAAGAAACAATGGACCAATAGCGGTTAAGATAGCTTACAGGTGGGAAATATGACGTGAAGGTAAAAAGAACGCTTTTGGCGCGAAAACAGCTAAATTCAAATTTTCAAAATAAAACCACAAGATTAAGCCATTTACCAAGTAAGTTCTGGGGATTTGACATCCCCAACACTAATCAACAAGATACAGTTTAGAATGGAGAACATTAATCTCTGTCAATTTTTTGTCTGTACATATGCATGCAAACTCAAACGTAATTGTCAGCACTTTATTTGCGTTGAGATGTTAGGTGATTTTAGATAGTTGACAAAAATCCTGAATCTAGGTTTGGTGCCATATGAAACTCTTTAGCAAAACGAACCTGTAACCTTGAGGGAACGGATTGACCCTGATGAGTTTGATGCCGCGACACTCTGTACCATATTTTGAGCAGCTACTACTGTGCTAATCAGATTGAAACCGAACTTCTGTACGAATGATGTATTTATAGTTGATTGATCACTATGTAGTGACTAATGTCATCTGTATATGTGCTATCGGCTTATTCACCAAACCGTCAAGCCCTAAGTTATAATTTCTTTCTTCAATCTGGTTAAAGGGAGACTGATTAGAGTGTGGATCCCCCCCTTTTTCAGCAACATTACCAAAATGTGGCATTGTATCTTAACCAACTGGAACTGTGTTCATCATGTGATGTGTGGGCGAGAATGACAATGATTGGTTGTCTTGATGAGTCAGACATTAGATAGGATGGCAGGTGTTATATGTGTTATATATATTCCCCTATCCTTATTATGTATTGACTGTTCCTTGTTGATGGACACTTATTGATTGACTGTTCCTTGTGTTGGATTTTGGTGTGAAATATATTGACGTTATAGTCAGGCTAATCTTGTGTTCTTGATCTGAGTTGTGTTGAAGTCCTGTAGAATAGACAATGGGTGGGAATCTAGTGTAGATTTCGTCTAAGATAAATTAACGTCCCACATACGTGTAAGAAGTGAAAAGACTGTTATAACTAGAAACCCCTACTGTTATAATCAGCATCCTCTTTTTATTGTTTATAACATCATGGAGTTCTTAAGTTGTATATTGCAGAATAATACTATCCTTTGTTTTGCATATCAACACAAGATACATGTATAAATGAAGGGTGTAAAAACGAGTAATCGATGATAGTTTTAAAAAATAGAATTTATCAAACAAGTCAAAAATAAAACGTTTACAAACATAATTTGTTGTTTACAGAGTACTGTATATTAATGAATACTTTCCAATGAAATTGGTTTCACATGATTGCATAAAACACATAAATCTTCGTGTAGCATATAAATTAAAAATTGAATTAATGTAATTTATTTGGATCTCTAATCACCTTGTTTACATTTTATAGCGATTTTGCATTACCTTTCATGAAGTGATTCATTTTTCATTCGAAACAACTACTGTAAGCTTGTTAAATTTGATTTTCAATACAAAGGGATATTAGTTGTAAACTGGTCGGAAAAGAATATCTGTTTTACCAGTGATTAAGATTTCCCAACACTTGGGACTTACGATCCTATGCAAGATCGAACTTACTGAGTTGAATGGAATGGTAATGGAATATCTCTATATCAAGTGGTGATCAACTCTATATACATGTAATGGATGTATGGTTGGTAAACATAGATAGTTTTGTCGACTTATTTTATCCACATGAATCTACACCGGTATTGTTTTGTTCGATCTCAATCTACACTCGATTCATATTCGTTGATAAAGTTTAAATTATCAAATATCTTAACATAGAATATGATGAATGGGCAATGAAACAGTGTAGTGATGTATTCAGTATAGAATTTAACTACTGGATTTTGATTATAGCCAAGCGTTTTGTTGCAAGCAAACACGAACTATGTATAACTGAAAGTGTCCTATAGAAAAACGATGTCTTCGACTAACTGCTGCCCTAACATACGTCGTCAACACTTCAATTTTATTCCTTAAAAATGTTATAAACGTAGGTATGCCGTCGCTAAGTGTTATAAACGTAAAGGAGAGGATGCTGGTTATAACAGTAGGGGTTTCTAGTTATAACAGTTTTTCACTTCTTACACGTATGTGGGACGTTAATTTATCTTAGACGAAATCTACACTAGATTCCCACCCAGTGTCTATTCTACAGGACTTCAACACAACTCAGATCAAGAACACAAGATTAGCCTGACTATAACGTCAATATATTTCACACCAAAATCCAACACAAGGAACAGTCAATCAATAAGTGTCCATCAACAAGGAACAGTCAATACATAATAAGGATAGGGGAATATATATAACACATATAACACCTGCCATCCTATCTAATGTCTGACTCATCAAGACAACCAATCATTATCATTCTCACCCACACATCAAGAAACAATTCTCAATTGATGGAAAAAAGAAACAGAAAGATTTATTCGATCATATATGATTTCTGCAATAATTAATACGCAGAAGAGATTGTCAAGGAAAAATTCATTGTCTCAGCTAATATTATGTAATATGCATTTACATTTGTGTCACTTTTATAAGACGAACATGGTTTGAAAACATCAGCATACATTCGGCGGTTATTTTGTATTAGATTACTGAATTTCTTGATTTTCATTGATTTCACCGCTGATGTTCATGCGTCGTAGAAATTAGCCTTATCAAACAGTTTCACTGTTAAAATCTATGTCTTCTCTAATAACTTGCACTCAGATGGGTTTCAGAGTTCTACTGAATCAATGAGCTACTCAGGACTGGTGATATTTTATGTTAGTCGTAGTAGATCTATATTTGTCTGAGGTTGGATATGTAAGCCAAAATATGTTTACTGTGTGATCTGAATATGTCATGATAGCTCAGAAATCTGAAGATCTTAAGTTCAAGTATATGTAATTTTGTTTATGAGCATTGTTAGGAAGTTTAAAACTAAAATGAAACAGTTGTTTATTGATCTCAGATTTCAACCATTCTCCTGTTTATGTTACTTGGTGAAGAATATCATCTTGATAATAAATATATCTTGAGTTTACTGAAGACGTCCGTAATGATTAAAAGATTGTGTAAAAGATTAGTACCAAAGGTGGGTGATTACGGCGTAGCTGAATAGTTTGATCATTTGACTTTCATTGTTCTTCCGAACAACATCATTAGCACGAATTCAAACACTTCACTTCTACCTGAAATTTGAGCTGATGATGTTGTTTAGAAGAAAAGTAAAAGCTTCAAGACAAAACAATCCAGCTCACAAAACAAAACTACACCAACTTTATTGATGATGTAATACTTATTATCTTTTTATTTTGTCTTTTCCAGATTTTTTATAAGACTCAATTAATTCGAGACAAAATGAACTTAAATTCAGTTTGGGTAACATAGGTGAAATATTATCTCAAATATTGTCTTTATTATTCACATTATACAAACTATACAAATGTAATAAAATTGATGTCATATCAAGTAACATTCTTTATGTAAACTCCTGACAATATGGATTGGAATAAAAAGTATCTGAATTTAAATGAGAGCACCGAGTTTGAATCACTCATAACAATTGAGCCAATGGAAATGAAACATATCATTCAAGATCCACTAGATTTGACGTTCGAAGAATATGAAGTACGTAATGTAAGCGAAACTATTCATGTATTACTGATTTTGTTAATTTCACTATGGAATATATTTACATTGTAGTGATTGCTAGTCAACACATAAATATTACTACATATTTTATATAATGTTAAATCGTTTGGAAACAAAGTGTCACACCTCACACACTATTGTCGCATTTTGAAGGAAAAAGAGTTGTTTTTAGGTTTACTAATAATATACCTTGATGATTAGTGTCTGATAGCACAAAATTCAAATCTCGGAATTCATGCCGAATCTCACCAACCATTTATTTTGTACTTTACTTGGATCTGAAATTCAAGCATTAAAGGTCAAGACAAACAGTGGTACTGTTGATTGTAAAGTCATTTGAAATGCTAGTCTTACACGTACAGATTTTTATGATTTCTGTTAGGAATGTGAATAAATGCTTGACGATACAAGAGTGAGTATCTCATTTCCAGTAGAGAATAAAGACAGTGTTAGGTCTGATGGTTAAGAAGGGTGAGATAGCATTATAATCGAATCGGACTTAGTGAATTGGTGAATTTTTTCAAGGTTACTTAAGCGTCGCTCAAAGTCGTCCAAAAACTTTAGTCTCAACTTAAGTTACATCAGTGTTTGTATCTTTATCTTGACTCATTTTCTATATATACTAATTCAGTCATTAAATTGTAAAGTTCTGTTGAGTAAGCGATAGTTATCTGTACTCTTTAACCATTATCAAGCTTTAAATCCTACTATAAACTTCCAAAAATGAGGTTTTTCCACAGCTTCTTATGCATTCATAACGTACAATTTTTCTGGTGCTTTATTCGATTTCCTTTAAACATATTGAGATGATTTTTTAAAAGGTCAGTGACTTGGACAATATTGATTAAGTATGACCTTATGCTGAACTCAATACGTATACAAAACGTTGTTCAGCGTGGTTTGTACTCATTAGGTCGGTTGTATTAAAGAACAAACAAAAAGAAACTTCATCAATATTTAGTGAAATGTGATGGTTGTGGCGAAGCGAATGCTAACAATTTAGATTTTTATGGTAGAACTCGAACATTGTATGTCAGTAGAATATAAGCCTTTTCAACTGATAAGATTTTGATTAAAGTTGAGGTTTATAATCACTCGGCCCACACAATCCTGTCTTAGGTTTTTACATGACCTATATATATATAACGCTATATTAATGCTGGTTATGTGTTGGAATGAAATATGACACGGAACGTGTCATTTATTTACTTAATTCTAAACACAAATAAGAAAATCAATATCTTTCATACGATAGTTCTACAGAGAATTTGTAATTTTAAGCACAAAATGATATTTTTCAATCATTTAAAAATAATAACAACTTCGTGGACGCTTTTTCCTAGTTTTGAACACCCTAGTTACATACACATGTAAGAACTCATAGATAATGGAGTCCAGAAGCTGTCACTGTTACATTTGTTTACTGTTTCCTAGTACGTCCGAAATTTTTAGATCTAAATAAAGATGACTGACAGTTTATATTCATTCAAACCAATCAACATTTCTAAATTCATCATATGTTTATGTAAATTTTTGATAAGATTAATGACAATCAAGCTTATCAATATTTTTCGTGGAAAATGGACAAATGAATAGATTGATAGTTGTTTTCATTTTTAAAAAAAAATTTGACACATACAATGAGATGAATGTTTAATCTTTTTAGAGTAAGATGTCAAAAACTAGTTTGGCATAAAACCAAAGCTTTGTTAAATTGATTGCTTGCTAGGTGTTTAGAATAAAGCGATTGTGGTTAGTAGCAGTGTAGTGTGGTTTAGTTATATCCAAATCAGTAGTATATAGTGATGGTCAGACATAAAATGTATTTTGGCAGAAGACCGATAAAGAAAGAACTGAAATGAACCGCAATTGATGAGAAAATGCATGAACAATGAAATTAGAGATGTACTAATATTTACAGAAGGAACAGTGAAGATTGAGACAATTGATTGTTATTTTACAAATTAACTGTTCATTGTATGGTTATCAGAATTTATTGAGATAGTCTGTAATTTGTGTCTAAATACACTCGATTGATCCCAATCGTGTTTTGTTCACTACAGCAGAATCTAGGATTGTAATTTCGTTCTATTCGATACTTAATATCAGAATGTACTTATATTTTGGCATTGATCTTTACAAAAGGAAATGAGCCCAATACATATAATAAATACATAACACAAATTGCTACTCGGGTCGAAATCTCAAGTCACTCGAATTGGCGATAGTATTATTTGAAGATTATGAATTCAAATAACTTATTCAATGTTTCTCTTATTTTAATGTCTACCTTGTAAACAGACTTCTCAAACATCTGATTCAGTTCATGTATTCCCGAGTGAACCACGTGGAGTGTTAAAAAAGAAACCTCGTTTCGCCGTTCCGATTATTACTGAATGTGAAAATGAAAATGAAGATGTAACTGACAAAGTAAAATCTTTTATAAATGAAAATGAACTGGTTGAACAAGTAAGTTTGATAAAATTTAAGTTAAATTTTACTTTTTTTATCTGATCAAAATCTCGCTGATTCGTAACTGTAAAGTCAGCTTTCTTATGAACCATTTATTAAGTTGATCATTCATCATTGTCACCTACTTCTCAATAATTTATCTGTTGGAATCAACATTACTGAATACTTAGCACGAATCAATCGTCCTTGAATTAATCGTTGGGATTTCATTAACGGTTATCAGTGGACGTAGTTGTCATTTATTATAAGCCCAGTTATCTAAGAGAGGAAGACTCTGTTTGTTGCTTTTACTAACATATTCACAAGTAATATCTGACTGAAAAACAATTATATATTACTAGGGACATCATAATCACCGCCTGAATATACATATAGTTCCAATTTACCTTAAATGGTGATTATTTTAAACTTTTCACTCCTCATCATTTCATTGATGATTTCAATTTGAAAACATCAACGATTTGACTTTTAAAAAAGAGCTATTTTTCCTTTTGAAATTCATATATTTGTTTTTGTAAATATTGAATTTCTTGCCTGATATTGCTTATTGCTCTTAACAATTGGATTTACTTAATATAAATAAAAAAACGCTTGAGGTATTGAATATCTGAAGGAATCAGGTAGTAGTCAAACCTTTACCTCTGCATTGTTCTTATTGAAGCTTTTTGAACATGTCCATCTGCAACAACGGGGAAATTATAATGCCTCTATACTCATTTGAATCTTCGTCTATCATTACAGAAATTAGAAGTCCTGACTTTCTGTCAAAGTGAAAGTCAAGGTAGTAATGAGAAAAATTAGGTTTGATTTGATTTTATAAAGATACTCAATACTGATCAACCTAAATTTAAGATATTTGTATATTAGTGATTCTGTTAATTCTTCTGTCTTTGTAGGACATGTTTCACTTGACGTCTAATCAAGTATGTTTACATTATGAACAAAGAATTTACTTTCCGATTTCGTGCTTTAGTATATAGTCAGTATATATGTGTCAAATACCTAGAGTTAGTCTGCAGGGAACTTTGGACACTGGTTTTATGCCAGCTGACAGTCATAACCAAGGTCCAGGATTTATCGTCGGCTATATGATGCATACATGTTGAGTCACTTAAACTAGTGGCAATATTGCAACTTGATTGACAATATTATTAAAACACTAAGGATTGAACAAACAGAAAATGGGTTATTAATCACCGATCAATCAGTGTAAATATCTAAGTTTCACAAACCGTTCTTATAATTCACTTACGTTGTTTTATTCAAAGTGACATGGACAGTAGAAAAAAGCATACAGTTAATGTTTGCTAAGATAAATTGTGGTTCTTCAACATTTATGTTACAGATGGACAATATTTCGTTTGAGGAGTATTCCGAAAAAGTGACTGATTCAAAATGTCAAGAAATGTGAGTCTCATTTTCATGATGTTTTTTATTGTTTATTTCATGAATATACTTACAACTGCAAACATTTCTAAAAAAAGGTTTACTTACAATTGATAATTACAAATGCAGATTTCAATAGTTAAATATAATAATCTCCTCGTTGCTGATAAATGAAATTAGCGTTGAAAATAGATTACGTCATGGATATTTTTTAGAAGTTTAAAGTTTACCTTAACATGTATCAGTTACTTAAACCTAAAATTTACAAGTAAAAATATAATTTTAATAAGTAAATAGGTCTTAAATATGAGAGAATTTATGTCAAAATGTATGGATATGTGTAGTTTAATAATGTAATTGAGATCATGAACAGATCTGTGTTAGAAAACCATCGAAAACTTGGGGAGCACTTGACGGCCGCTTCGTCCTAGCATGGGACACCTCAGCAGTGCTCATCCGTGATTCCGCACGTGCAACTGGAAGCCCAGGACCTTCGGTCTCGCTTGAAATCTTAACCTATAGGCCGCATCTAACTGTGTTAATGTCTAACCTTGATCAATATTGTATTTGACGGCTTTGAAATAGTAATGTTACTTTTAATTAAAATGTAATATATCAGAAAAAATTAATCAGTTATTTATGTTTTACAAACATTATTTTCAAGCTCACATTCAGCATCTTGATTAACTCATTACATTAACTTTTTCGTACTTTCTCATCGAATTATACGTTTCAGTTACTTAAAAGATTAATCGCTTCTTTTTAACAATGAATTTGGATTGTTTTTTGTGAATCACAGTTATCGAATTTGGCTTCACAGGTTAACTATTATTATCAGAAGGGGTTTTTGTGGAGATTTAGTATTTTCATAGTTGAAAGCGCGAGTCAATTCAAGCTAGACCACCAGGGAAAACCTGGAAGATTTTTAAAGCTAATTATGTTGGTTTGAGATTCGGAAGGTAAAAAATAGTAATTTCAATAACGAAATACAAATTGGATTAGTAGTTATTGCTCAATAATAGATTAATTCATATCGAATGTTAACACTTGAATCTGTATATATGTAAAGTGAAAATTTAAGATCTGTGGTCAGAATAAATAAAGGTCAGATAGGGTGGGAGAGATATGATAGTGCAATTACTATTCGATCAAGTGGGAGACTAAATTGTGTGGAGAATTAGTAAGACGTAATGAAGAGAGTTCAATGCGAAGTGAATGAATCAGGTATAGTAGAGATTAATACTGATGCTTAACCAGTAATAATAATAATTTATTACTCATTTATTTAAACGAATAAATATTGGTACAAAGGGGCGCCGGATACAAATGCACTAAGCAAATCTCATTTGATTTGTGTGAAGGCTGTGATACTGCCCGAGTGCCGAAACAGAAGCAGGTACTTTTCGTATGGGGCCACATTCAAAGCCTTTGAACTTAAGGCCTGATCCAAAAGGCAGTGAAGCATCGTGGAGAGATGCAGTCCCATGGTAGCCGGTGACCAACGATTGATTCATACACCATTTGTTTCCTCAGGTTACTGGAGCCCATGTGCACCGTTGATTTGGAATCAAAGTTTTCCAACTCCTCCAGGTGAACTCGCCGTGTCCACCAACCCAGTTAAAGCGTCTGAAATTCGCTTTCCGTCCTCTGAATTTTTTAAACAACAGTAATGCCACGAGAAGGCAGTGAGTAGTACTTCCCTGGCGGAGGCTATATGCGCGTGGCCATGTGAGAGCATTCAGAGAGGGAGAGCGGACTCTCCCCACTCTCGACCGTACCAGGGCATTTGGGGGCAACAATAATAATGATACAAAGATTTGTGAATAAAGATAAGACAGACAATTGAATTTGACTACGAAATATCGTAAGTACACAGTCAAATTAGGTCCTCCAATAGCTAACATATTTGAACAATCATCTCAAAGTTGGTAGTATAGAATTAAGTATGATTCAATTAGTATTGTTGCCTAAACAACTGGTAAAAAATAATTCCCAATCGATATTTTTATGTACACTTAAGTTTGGGATATTTAAATTTTGAATATATTTGTAAACAAACATTGACCCTATTTCATTTTGTTGTCTGAGTCACAGCTTGATATTTTCGTTCTTTATCTCTTCGAGTTTTTCGATGAATTAAGAATTCTTGTTAGAAAATGATTCATTTGAAATTGTTGTTGTTGTTTATTTTTACAGACACATTACAATTGTCTCATATAAATAAGTAAACATCAGTCACTAAGTCTACAACATGAAAAAATGGCAAATAGGTAAACAACAATAAACAAGACATCTCTTATTTACTTTTACACTTGACATGTTAATGAACACACATATTTCCAATATAGATGTCTTTTCGTAGAGACTTTTGTTTCGTAAACTGAGGGTAATTTTATCATAAACTTACATTATCTACAGATATATTTCAAATCAGAAAGCACTGGATGCTTGGTTCTTTTTTTCCATAAGACCTGAAGGTTTTGTTGCTTGGACACAGCTCTCTCAATTAATTTTATGTCATATAGTGTGTGATAGTATAAAAATAATTTAATTGAATAATATTTATCAGAAGGGGGGTTTTGTGGAGATTTTAGTAATTTTATATAGTTGAGATCATGATTCAATTGAATCTAGACCACTATGGAAAACCTGGAAGCACTGGCAGCCGTTTCGTTCTATTGTGGGACTCCTCACTGCTGAGGAGGACGAAACGGCCTTCCAGTGCTTCCAGGTTTTTCATGAATAATATTTGTTTTAGAAATAGTTGGATCTAATTTTGGATAAAGTTATTGTTATTGAGCGGTCATCGTGTCGATTCTGATAGCCTTGAATAGAGCAAGAAGAATATACGTAACAGAATAATATGATTTCATTTTATTTCCGTGGTACACTCTATCACTTTCATCTTTTTGTTCGAATATTTACTGATATAATTAAGTGGATAACTATTATCTCTCAAACATCTATCAACATTGAATTCCCTTAGTATTGTTTGTTTGGATCTTCCCATCGATGTGTTTAGGACTGCAACTCGTCAGTCAAACTTCACCCCATCGCACAAGCAAGTGGCTATCAGGACTCAGTGGCCGAGTGGATAACGCGATGGCGTTTGAAGCGAGGGTATTGGGTTCTGTTACGTCTGCCCGTTTGTGAACGTTATGTTTGCTTCCCTAAGCTAGTTTCGGATCCCCGAGCTAGAACTATACAGCAACTTGAAGACCAGAGAGAAGACACGAGTATCAGAGAAGCACATTACTACAAGGTTCATTTGCGTACAGAAAAACAGGGGTTTTATAGTAATTAAAAGACCTTGAGATTCCATAGTAGCAGTATGTTAAACAGCCAATCAGGACCTCGTTATTTTAGTAGCATAGCTTCTAACTAATCGCTGATTGGTTGGGCTCTTTATGAGCCTCTGGAGGCTCTGATAGAGTTTACTGTAAGTCGACTTAACAGGTTCGAGTCCCAGAGTGAACATCAACTCTGAGATGCAGGTACATCCAGCTGACGAGTCCCAAATAGGACGAAACGCGCGTCCTAAATTCCACTGCCAGCCACTATCCATCTCTGCTTATCATCTATCAACATTGCTTAATTCTTGTTCAATTTTGCCCTCTGAACATAATTTTAACGAAAACTCATTTACAGCTTATCAGGTAGAGGCTATTTATATTCATGTGCGCTTTTGATTAATATCTCTTTGAAATCAACCATTTTTATTACGTTGAGTACCAAGGTCTAGGAAGAGGAACTTATTATCATCCTTATGACACATGGCAAATCATATATTGGAGTGTGTGGTTGAGATCGTAATACTGATGTACACGCTTTGTATATGTGGGTCGAATACGTCACCTAAGTGAGAAGACAAGGAATCAATAGGAAGCTTTGTTCGTTATCAAAATAGGAACGATACACAAACTCACGTAAACACAGATAAAAGTGTTATTTGCTGACTCAGTCATATCTGGATCAGTAATGTTCATCTATCTGTATACACCAGTTAATGTTTGACATTTAATCGATATATTTGATTGTTCATGCCTATAAGTTATGCATCATTTTCTGTGTTACAGTTAATAAGAAGGTAAAAAAGTTTCTGACTGTTACCTAAATGTCATCGTAAATGTTAAACAAGGACTTTTGATCTTTAAAAGACTCAATTTAGAAGGATTTTTTAGTTTTAATGCTTCATGGAAATACTACCATAAAGTTTGAGAAAACTGATGTAGAATCTTAGTTTCAAATCTCTCGAGGTATAATTTTAGGACGAATAAACTGTGTGGATTCTGCATGAAATCTACCATAACGTGAGGAGCTTAACCAACCTACTAGTCGTTCTCAATATTCTCTTTCCTAGACATTTATTTAGAAGTTATCATAACTAAATTCCATTGCTATCTTCTAGTAATATGCTAAAGGTAGATGAGAGAAACAAATTTAGAGTAAATATTTATTTTAATAATGAAACCTCTAAAACAGTTGAGCAGTTGAACATGGATTCCATAATAAATCTCCATGAACAAAACTCAAGCTTTATGCCGTGTGCATCGCATTGGTAACAACTAACTAGACAGAATCCATTAATGCTATATGAACAAACGTTAAACTAAATACCATGTCTTTAAATTACTTATCTTCTCAATAATCCCTGTCTTCCTAACAAATTCTCGAATTTCTATGTGTAAATCTTCGATTCAAAGATATTTAACCATGTTGAGATTGAAACAAAAGTCCGAATAAATTTTATAATTTTATCTCCTATTGTTAAACACAAGTGATATTTATTTTAGCGCCTATTCATAGATTATTAGACCTAATCAATACGTTTAATTTCATTAACTTATCATTTTTCATCCTATCGACAATTACAATCTAACAATTATGACATAATAAACGGTTAAATAAATAAACAATACTTAAAAAAGTAGGCTGATGAAATTATTCAAAACATAAATAGAATTCAGAAGGGGCTTTTGTGGAGATTTCAGTAATTTTATAGTTTAAATCATTAGTCAATT